GATCTTTTGCTTTCTCCCTGTATTATGGTACGATATACTCCTCTATTCTCTAGATCCCAACCCTTCTTCCCTGCTTCACACATTTTCAATGCCATCTTACCTAAAGCCTCTCCTGTTCTCTGAGACTAGATTAGACAATCATCTTTCATGCATCTAGAGTCCTGGACAGTGAGGGATACCAGGAGCTTTAATCCACATTCCCATTTCTTGCTTATATATTCTGTGTGTCACTCAAAAGACATCTTTAATACATTAAAGACCAAGATGTCACTTTGAGCAGTAAGGTAAGCCTATTCCATGTCAGAGTATCTTCAATTAATTCAGATGCATGTGAAAGCTGAAAAGTGAATAAGTTAAGACTGGAGAATTGATGCATTTCAATTATGGTGTTGGTGCAGAATTTTGAAAGTATCACGGACTGTCAAAATAACAAACAAATCTGTCATGGAAGAAGTACAGCCAGAATGCTCCTTGGAAGCCAGGATGGTGAGATTATGTCTTTTCTGCTTTGGATATGTTGTCAGAGGGGCTAGTCCTGAGAGGACATTATCCTACATAAAGTGGAGTGTCAGCGAAATAAGGAAGGTCCCCAATGGTATGAATTGAGACAATGGCTGGAACAATGGACTCAAATATAACAACTATATAGTGTTTCATAACTGCTGTGCACAGGGTTGCTATGAGGTCTGAATCAACACAATGACATCTAACAACAGCAACAACAAAACCCTAGACAGTAAGTGACACATAAAGTTTTATTCCATAGTCCCCTTACTTGCTTATATATTTTGTCTGCTCCTCAAAGGAAATCAGCTTTTTGATATCTGGGATTGTATCTACTTACAATCTTATATTCCCTAACATTTAGAACATGCCCTGTGCTTGTTGCAATAATCAAGTAATTCATTGATGAATAAATAAATTAATCATAATTATGATAACATGTGGAGCTTCTTATCTTAATTTACTTGGGTGTTAACATAGGAATTAAATACTTTCAACATGAATACTAGCAGTAATTCATTTGGTAGGAATAAATTGTTCCTGAATATATTTTTTCAAAAGCAATAAATGACCTCTTAATTACTGCCAAGTTGAGTACCAATTATCAGTAAAGACATACGATAAGCAGTGGACTTCTAAATGCAAAATGGGCAGTTCAAGCCCATCAGTCGCTCCATGGGAGAAAGATGAGGCTTTCTCCTCCCCAAATGATTTACAACCTCAGAAACAGTATACAGCATCACTATGGGTTAGAGTCAATTCCATACCAATGGGTATGTGCCTAGAGAAATGTTTCAGGAGCCATGAAAGAATTGTAACACGTAATTCTTGTTCAATTGGGATTTAACTGACAGTTCCAATCGCTATGCATTTTTAAAACTTAACATTTTATTAAGTACTCTGTTTCCCCTTTGTTTGCTCCACTAATGTAGAAATGATTGTATCTGATTGTATCAGCATCAATGCTTGCCACATAGTAGATATCCAATAAATACTGAGTGTTAAAGACAGGAGTCATTGTCAGTCCTGGTGAAAGGAAGTAGTAGAATAGGAATCTTATTAGGAAATTATCTTGAGGTGATCCAGTATTGGATTGAAGGAATGGGATTTTAGTGACAATGTTCAGTTCAGAATTTCTTGTATCTATGCTACACTTCGGGGGCACCTACTTCTTTCTAGTGCTTTGATGTAAATTTATGGAGTGATATTTGACTTTAT